TAAGTCGCCCATTGAGGTCATTTTTGCAATTGAAATTTAAATGGGACGACTTACTTCTAAGTCGTCCAGCTTTGTTTGTTAAAAAAAAAACTCCAGACGACTTAATTATAAGTCGTCTAGATAAAACGGTCTACTTTTGCTTTTGACCGAATTGTGTCAGATATTTGACTTTTTCTGGACGACTTAAAATTAAGTCGTCACTGGGAAAGTTAAAATTTCAATATTTTATTAAATCTAGACGACTTAATTATAAGTCGTCTCAGGTTAGTTTTGCAATTCAAAAATAAACTTAAATTTTTAACTTCTCCAGACGACTTAATTAGATATCGTCTGATCAGAAGACTTATGTTAAAGTCGTCCAGAATAAGCAAGGTTTGACCAGAAAACTCGAAAAATATTATGGACGACTTTGATTATCCTGGACGACTTTTATCTAAGTCGTCTGAGCGGTCGACTTTTAATTAAGTCGTCTGGAGAAGTTAAAAATTTAAGTTTTATTTTTGAATTGCAAAACTAACCTGAGACGACTTATAATTAAGTCGTCTAGATTTAATAAAATATTGAAATTTTAACTTTCCCAGGGACAACTTAATTTTAAGTCGTCCAGAAAGTCAAATATCTGACACAATTCGGTCAAAAACAAAAGTAGACCGTTTTATCTAGACGACTTATAATTAAGTCGTCTGGAGTTTTTATTTTTAACAAACAAAGCTGGACGACTTAGAAGTAAGTCGTCCGTTTGACCAGAAGACTTATCCGTAAGTCTTCTACATCCAGACGACTTACGGGTAAGTCTTCTACGCTAAGAGATCTAGAAAAAAAATTCAATTTCAAACCTTAAACTAGGTGAGATGACTTCCTTTGCACACAGAGTCTTCTCCAACCACCCAGAACATCGAACGAAAGTAACCCACCAACAATTGTATGCTTAAATGGCTCTATCAACCATAAAAAAATTGCTATCAAAAGCTTGGGTTTTTGGCATGAATATGGAGACAAAGTGAAGGAGATGTTGTTTTTAGTTCATAACAATTGAGAAAGAGAGTATGAGTATCGATTTTAAGTGCATTAAAAGCTTCAAACCTTGGTTGTACAAGGTTGTTGGGTTGTACAAGGTTGTTGGGAGTATTCATGGCAATGGTAATGTTGTAAATACTTGAAGATGATGAGGTTGAGAGAGTAAAAAGGCCATTTTCGA